AGACAAAAAAAGTCATGGTCATGGTCTGGGTTGTGCGTGTTTCCATGTTAACAGAGATGGACGAACCAAAACTTGACCTTTATTTGCAGTTCCTCTTTCTATTCCTGTTTTCAACGTGTTCTGTTATAATGTGCCATTCAGTCATCAGACTCTCATTTTGGCGGACAGACATTAAAGCATAAACATAACTAATTCTAATCCGTAAACACGTTCAAAAAACAATAAATGCATAAAATTCAATACAATTTTTTTTTTTTTTTTGCATTATTCATTATGCAATCTATGATTTACTGGCTGTTCCAAATAGTGAGCTTCCTTGTGGTTCACTCGCTATATAAACAGCTGTCTTCTAAGGGAGCATCCTGAAATTAAACTTCATAAGCAACAGATTCTGAACATTGTACAGTTGCTGTTACCATGTGACTACCTTATACATTTACTATTGTAATTAGTTATAGAAATGAAAATATGTCTTCGTTATTATTTTATTTGATTAAATTACAGGTATGTGTATGTACACAGACAGTATATACTGAGCTTATTGCAATGCTGGTTGCAATGTTAGTATTGCCTTCTCCCTTAAGTATAAATGTAATGTTACATTATAATTTTACTAAAACAGTATCTTGAAGGTATAATTATGCTGCCTACCTTTTGGAAATTTTGTGTTGGACGTGTTACTACGATGCCTTAAACTGCTGCCTACACAGGCAGTTCCCTATAGGTTTGGGAACAGAGCACTAATGATGACCGGTCACTTCAAATAACATATACTTTATACATTCAAAATGCGAATGTATGTCTTGTGTGTTTCTGTGGTTTCCCTTGAGATCTGCTCTTACACAACCATTGAAATGAAATCATGCATGCTGTGAAGAGAAGGCCTGCAGCATGCTGGGATGTCAATCAGTTTGACTTTAACCCTTGCGACAATTTCCTGGCTTGTTGAGCTCAGGAAAATATTATATACACAGCAAAACCACTGCATTTTAGTGATGGTTCATGTTAAAAGGGGCTGCTTGAATTTATAAAACCATTTCCTGCACATTATCATTTCTCTAACTGCCCAGTGCACAATTCTACAGGCAATTTAATGTGGACATACACATTTATCATGCATAACCCAACAATATCAAATACAGGAAATGAGGAAATCCTGTGCCATGACTTACAAAATGCTTCCAGGTCATTATGCCTTATTCTAGAGGAAATGGATTATATTGACGGCAGTATTACAGTAAATTTGAGATCAATTTATTGTCTTATTGTATCATTATCACCACGTTCTGCCTTTTATTATTATTATTATTTTTTTTTGTAGATCAGTACAAGCACAATAACCTCACTCTGAATCCGGCTGTCAGCAGAAATTATGTCCAGTGTATCTACTGCACCACTAACCCAGACCAGCCAGCTCAAGCCAGACAGAGATGGAAATGATGATGATGAAGATAGCAGTAAAGTGCCTCTGGTAAGGAGGCTCTCAGCTCTGAGACACACCCTTCAACAGCAGAATAAGTCACTGAGCACCAGTTTTCTCTTCTTTATTTTCTAAGATCTCATTTTATGTCTGTTCCAGTAGTGTATACTAGGGGTTGCACCTACTAATCGACTAGTCGACTTCAATGCTCTGCCATGATGCTTTAAGCTTGACGTCGACTAGTCACTGGTCCTATAGAGGGCGCAACAGGATAAGAAATCTTTGAAGGACTTCCACCTTTACCTTCGGTTTCCAAACAGTTAAAATGACAAGTAAATGCATACCCCGAAAGTGCTCCACAAGATATTATTTTACTGGATGCTCGAAATTGAATGGGAGAATGCATGTTTTAAACAGCCTATTGTACAGGAAAATTAATCGCCGTTCTAATCGAATGCGCTGCTGCACTGTAACGCACTCACGAATCATTCAGCGTGGAAATGTATTGTCAACACTGTTCTGTGATTTCTCACCAAAATAGCTTAGAAACTGAAAAGTTCAAGCATATATTTCTTAATAACTAAATCCCACAGCTTCACTACTAGTAGAGAGACGCTGCCAGGTAGAATTAATTCACACACGCAATCGCTCTCTCACTAATGCATTCATATTAATGTAATCTTTACTGAGCTACTTTATCTGTATCTGATTTAGAACGAGCAGAAATCTGTGAGAAATATAACGACCCAAAGACAAAAGAACTGATAAAAATGAGCTGTTATAGGCGCAATAGCCATATGGGCAGTGCAGTGTCATATGCCATAGCTGTGCACAAGGTGTTCGAGTCTCAGCTCCAGACTTATTTGTTCATTAATGACGTCATCAGCGACTAGTCGACTTCGACTCGACTATCATCACATAAAAGTCGACTTTAAAAAATCAGAAGTCGTTCAACCTCTAGTGTATACACTGTGACTTAAAACTTAAAATACACGAAATTATCTTCTGTAATTTAACACATTTTCAAAAGAGAACAGATATTCAATGCAAAATAATGGAAGGTGGGACTTGGATTTTATTAATCATAAATAAATAAATATCAGCCGCTATTTTTCCATCCAAAGTTGCGAATTTAACTTAAGCGCAAAATTGGAATGTTGCATAAAAGATTTGCGAATAAAACTTCCATCCAGCGAGACGAAGAGAACAAAATAGTCACTTCTTGATAAACTGGCGCCAAATATCTCTACGAAAAGGGTAATTTGCTGCAGTAGGAAAAGCCACTGTGGGTATTTTTCATATATAATAAATTACTTTTTTGATGTGCATCGAGGAATTTATTTGGTAAAGGTGTTTCCATTGTAGTTTATGCACATATTTCTTATCAGATAAAAAAATAATCAGACTCAGCTGAGCACATACGTTTTTATGCACATTTTTAGAACTTATCCACATCTTGGCGTTTCCCATTCAGCATCTTTTTATGCGATATCCCAAAATGCGCATAAAAATAGGTGGATGGAAACACTTACTGCACTATTTTAACTAAACTACAAACATTACTGAATGTGCCACTTAAATCTTAATTATATTTAGGCTTAATTATTTAATCCTCAAATCCAAAAGCTGTGGTTTGATTTATTTAAAAGGAATTTGGGTGCATGTGATTGGATATTTGGTTTGATAAAGCTCTTATGAACACAAATAAGAAGCATCTGTCAAGTTCCTTAAGTATTTAGAAGACATGTTGGGGTTTACCATCTGATCTTAGTAGTGATTCTGTTAACCCTCTGCTGGTGGCTCTCAACTGTCACTGTCTGATACCAAAGGCATCTAAGCTCTTAAGAAGAATGTTTCCTTATTACCAAGTAGAGACCTAATTTGTATAATTATAAAGAGATGGCTTGACATGCCAGTTATACTGGTTCCCCCACCTTCTCTCTATCATCCCCTGTCCCATCTCCTGCTATATCTATCACTCAAATGGTAAAAATAGCAAAAGTAAAACAGAAAGAAAAAGCATTTTGTATTGGGTAGTACTTCATATTCATGGAACAATCACTCACAACAACCAGTGTCACACCAGTACTGATTGGAGGAATGGAGTCTTGTGTAATTGAGTTTGTACGGTGGGGTCAAAAGCAGAGGCAGGGGATAAGCAACCTTAATGCATTCAGTCACACATGCATAACAGTGTTTCAAACCCCGGAGGGAAGCTTTGAACCTTTGCCTGCACAGCTAACTCCGATGGGCACCGCAAGCTAAAGGAATCATCAGTAATGTACAGCGGTCAAAAGGTTGAAAAGAATATCAAATCCAGATCATCCATAGAACACAAGACATTTTTTTTTCAATTCTACCCACCCCCAACCCTCATCAGGTGCTGTGAGGCAAGGTCAACATAAGCTCCAGAGAAGGAAAGGAAATGAGTATAGCTAACAGCCTGAATTCCATTTTCTCATATCTCAACTCGATGGATTCACTTCACACCATATCTCTCTAACCACACTAACATTTAAAAAGCAATACACTGGACTGCTAGCTAGCTTGTTCTGTGGCAGATTGTTGAGAGACTGCTAACAGCTAATCATGATCAAATCAACACTTACTATGTTAAATATGCGCTAAAGTACAATGTGACTACCTAGCAAGGGAACATAGCTGACCAATCCCGTAGCGCAAAGGTAAATAGCTAATAAGTCACCACACTGTTAATGCATTCTTAAATAAAAACAAAACGCACTATGTTCATGTGTCGTTGCAGTCTCATTCTGAGTCACTGACCTTCTCAAAGAGTGTGACACCCCTATTATTCTCTTTTGAAGTCCCCCGGTAACAGAAAGAGGGAGAGGGAAGGAGAGAGAGGAAAAGAGAGGGGGACCATCTGTCAACTGCCCCAGAGATCAATGGCACCAGCGGCAAGGCTAAATATGTTGCCCACCATGACTTGAAAACATTTCAACCAAGCAAGATTTATTTTTAAGTTCCCACTTTGACATCAAGCGCCATTTATTTGACTGTTTCTAGCGTGATCTTGTTCACATTATCTACAATGATTCATGCTGAACTGAGGCTTATCATTGATGTAGAATTAGCAAAATATCTACAAAGATATAAGTAAATCATTTTAGTCATCCAAAACAGCTAAAGTTGCATATTCTGGAGATTAGGGCAGTGTGTCAACTCTGCTACAATGGTAAGGCAAATACCCCCCTTCCCCCCAATTGGTTTGGTCTCACCCAATACGTGCACAGATGCAAGACATGAGCTTGCAATGTAAACAAAAAGGGATGCGGCGATTGTTCAATAAAACCACGCAGAATAAAGCAACTGAAATAAAGCAACAATCATAATCATAAACATGCAGATGCAGCATCAAGCCAAGAATAGATGTATGAATAGAGAAAGTGTGCATAGTTATGTGAGCAGCACAGGATGAAAAAGAAATACAAAGCAATGTGGTTGCTAAGCAAGAGCAGGGCTGGGTTGAGCTATGAAAGCGATGCTGGATCCGTAAGCCAGGCAGCATTGCTCATTATTCTGCATTGCAAACGGATTAGTGGATCTTGTTATTACTTACCCAACATCTGACTGAAGAGAAGCTGCTCCAGGTCCCCAAGTACCGTTACAACCAGTTCAGGATCCACCTTTAGAAAGGTCTTGTCCCCTTCCTCTGGTTCTGGTGCATCTTTGTCCCCTCTGCCCCCACCTGGGGTGGCTGCTCCTGAGGTACCACTTACAGTTTTCTTACCATTCGTTTTAGCCTTGCTGGACAAGATCTCATCATCTGACTTGCCGTCATCTGCCAGCTCTTGAGCCTTGCTGATGGGTTTGACCTCAGCATAAGGACCCTTAGGTATCCGACTGGCTTTGCCCAGTTTGGAAGGTGGGCTAAAGGGTTTTGGCTTTCCCTGAAACAGTGAATGCTCTGACTTTGAAAGGTTCTTGGAAAGTGGGATACCCTTGCCTGTACCCCCTCCGGCATCTTTGAGCTTGCCTGACTTGTTCTGACTTGCCCCTGGTTTTTCCATGTCATCCGACCACTTGGGCTGGTACAGGTGCATCTTCTTCTCGGCGTCCGTAAGCACACATAGATTGGTTAATGACTTCTGCTTGCGCAGGTTACTAGGTACTGGAAGATGACCCTCAGAGTTTCCAGCTCGGTAGACCTTTAGCTCAGCCCGAGGAGTAGCCTGTGGGAGTCCTGACTTGCCCCTTTTCGCAGCCATGCCCCCAACTCCGTTGGCTCCCGCCTGGCCCTGGGGGGTCTTGGCTTCGGACGTTTTGTCAGCTTCAGTCTCCAGATCTACTCCTTGTCCTCTTGGGCTACCCCCAAGCATTCCTCCTGCGTGAAACCATGCAAAAGCATCAGTGAGTCAAATGGTTTTACAATCGAGCAAAAGAAGAGACAAGGTGCAATGTCTGCAAACTCTGTTGCTTGCTGCCAAATCTTTATCACAGGGAAAACTATCTCTCCAATAACACATACAGAAAGACCAGTCGGTAGATCCTGTATTGAAGAGGCAATCCGTATGTCTGGTGTCTTTAGCATGTAAATCCAGCATCTGGCTTCTTGCAGTTAGGCTGCCTCAGTTGCAGCTGCTCTAGTGCTACCCAGTCACTCATTTTCTCTCTCTCTTTCTTTCTCTCTCCTCCCTTCAGCAGAGTGTGAGCTTTGCTGTGCAGCAGCAGAATGACAGAGATAACAGACACAGAAACGGTCCCACCCCTTGCTCCCCCGCGCTCATTTAACTACACACACTCCCTCCTCCTCCCCCTACTCTTCTGGCTCTCTCTCTTTTCCTCTTTCTCTCTCCAACACACCCACTCTAAAGATGCTATACTGCTCCCCTGCACAAGTGTTACAGTATGAGGGACCTGTGAAAAATTACAGTGTCTTTTTAAACAGTTGCCTGCCAGCATGCTTCCTCTACTGGCCCTCTTTGGTTCACTAAAGTGTTCTGTTATCATAAAACCAATAATGTTTTCACTGTAAGGATATGATCACCAGTAACATTATGCTGTCAGACTTGTATTCAATTTAAAAATTGTTACATGGCAGACTTAAATGACTTTAGGATACTCTCTAGAAGCTTTGGGGAAATTGTTTGCTGTTCATTGTCAAAATGAACCTTAAACTGTCTGTAATGGACTTGACTTGAAGCATCATGTTGTTTCAAATCTATTAGAATTAAGTTGCACAATGTGGCAAAAATCACCCATTTGCATAGCAACATTTGGTCAGACCTTTTGGTGTAAAAGGAAAAGTTTTTTTTTCGTATTCTTTATTAATATCTTACCAGGTGAACCACGTTTTCCAGGACTGCCACTGGTGGCCTGTCTTAAAAAAAAATCTACATGACACTCCAGGCTATGACAAATGTATAGACAATTAGGCCTTGGTTCTGATGTGCCACACTGAATTGCCCTCAAGAAGAAAAATTGAGCTTCGGAAGGAACAGCCTCCATTCTGTCAGAGGATGGACCTTATTTTTCGCCAGCTTTGGGAAGGGGATGTCACAACAATACGATGCATACAAGACCGCACACAGTTCCTTCCTCTGAAACCGAAAGGGGTCTAGGCATGTTTGAATCCATTTTGAGAGTGTTCTACTTAGTTCTGTCATTTCAACTCAACAAGGCCAAGCTCTACCAAACAGACTATCCAAGTGGAAATAACTGACCTCATACAAAGTATTAGCCCAAGGACACAGGGTTGATAAACCAGGATTAAAAGGAACAACTCAATTTAGTATTCTACATTATTAGTATATTTGAAGGCACTACTACTGCACTTATAAAATAAATTCCAACATGTCTCAACATTTATCTGTCATTGAATCAATAGGTTCAAGTACATGCTTTCAAGGTGGTGCATTACCTTATCCATTAATATGCTGGTGTTAATACTTCAGTATCTTCCCATCATGCACTTGATGCACTAATTCCTGAACTTAAAACCCTGTACTGAACAGAGTCGATAAGAAAAATTGCTGAACAACGTCTATGAAAGTTCCGGAAATATCTGCAGATTTTGGCAGAAATCCAAAGGGCAAACGGAAATATTCAAATGCAGCAAATAGCTTTAAATGAAAACACTGTTGGACTGTTATGAACAGTATTCAAAATATCTAATTTGCATACCACTGGTCAGTCAGTTATTTTTTTCCTGGATCTTACCGAAAGCATTTAAAAAATAAACTACCTTTCCACCATATTTTCTGAAGAAATTTAATGCTCTGGTTGGTTTTAGCATATCGCTATGCACTTCCCATGTTATGGGTAGTTGCTAAGGCTAAAGTTGCTAGGTGGTTGCTTACTCTAAAATCCCACCACAATGATACTATGGGCTCTCAATACGGCTTGTGTTAGAGATTTTTTAATCAAAAACTAGCAACACATGATTTAAAGTATCTTGTATGTCCATCTTACAAATAGTTACACAAAGTGTTTACACCAAATGTGTTAACCTCATTTTAACTTCACATTTCTAATATCTTATATAAGGAAGCAAACAGATCCAAACAAGCAGGCTAGTCCAAAGTTCCTCCCAGTAGACATTAATGTCACACCAGACAAAGTGGAAGGAATAACGCACAGAGCTAGATCTGTTCATGGGGGAGCCCTTGCTTATAAACAGCACTCTGTTTTAAACATGAGCTCAGGATAGCTCCACTCATGTCAAATTCACCACAGGTCGCCACCTCGTCCCTCGCTCGTGGAGCTTCAACACTGAGCCGTCTGTCCGGTGCTGATGACCCAGACACCATTGCAAAATTGCTGGACAAACTTCAGAGTTACCTGAAATTTAGCTGAGTCAAACATTCAAAGTGCAATTATATGTCCCATTTGTCAGTTTTTGTCAGTTTGTTTCTGAAGAGACTGCTGTACAATAGTGTCTTGTCTAATGTGTATCAAATGATTTTTAATCAAGTTGTGTCTAAAACGTACATAACACTTGGTTGAATAAATTTATCTGTTTACAGTTTCTCAGTTGTTAAACCTTTCTTAAAAAGGGAAAAACGGTTACTAATGGTTAAACTATACCACACCCGAGTATGACTCAGTCCGAGAACCAAGCTTTCCACACAAAGCCACACTAGAGGAAATAGGAGGAAATCCTCTTTACAAGCCAGAATAAAGCTGGACCATAGATTCATGGCCTCTGTTGCATTGCCTATCTACTCATGTGTTCTCATATGGCTGTGTGTCATTCAGGAGAATTCCTGTAATATCCTACACATACTACTCCCGCACATACTTATTTTCATGCTTATAAGAGATGACTATGATAGGAAATAGCACCATTTCTCTCTTCTCTCCCACTCAGCAGAGTAAAGTATTAACTGATCATGCCATGGGTCTTCTATCTGTTTTCAAATGAACTATGATGTTCTACTGGATTTAAAAGTACAAGATGACCTTAGAGGGAAACACTCCCGCAGACTGTCAGGCAATGTTCTGAGCCAGAAAACAGTTCCCTTTCCTGATATGAAAACTATTTGTCTTAAGATAGCTGTAGTAAAATCATATATGTGTATTGGGTATATTTGTAGCAATAGCCAAAAAAACATTGTATGGGTCAAAATTATAGATTTTTATTGTATGCCAAAAATCATTAGGATATTAAGTAAAGATCATGTTCCATGAAGTTATTTTGTAAATTTCCTACTGCAAATATATCAAAACTTAATTTTTGATTAGTAATATGCATTGCCAAGAAATTAATTTTGGACAACTATAAAGGCGATTTTCTCAATATTTAGATTTTTTTTTTGCACCTTCAGATTCCAGATTTTCAAATAGTTGTATCTCAGCCAAAGATACAACTATTTGAATATACAAACCATACATTAATGGAAAGCTTATTTATTCAACTTTCATATGATGTATACATATTAATTAAAAAAAATTTACCCTTATGACTGGTTTTGTGGTCCATGGTCACACACACACACATCATTACACAGTTAAAGAAGCCCTTATCTGTGTCCTTATGTGACTCTTATACAGTAGCATTAAATATACTGTAGATAAGTTAATGGCTAATCATATGTCACTGAAGCATCCTTTATCTTGCTTTAGCAAACAGAGGAAATTCCCATCTGTGCATGTGAGTGCCAATGTTTAATCTCTGTCTCTTGAAAGTGTTTGGTTAGCCCCATTTTGTAAGACTAGGAAGCATCACTGTAGCGTTATTATCTGATCAACCTGATTGACCCTTTTAACAGATTACCGCTGTGATCACTAGTGAATGATCTAAAAGGTTTGCAGAACTCCTGTTATCAGACTTGGTGTAATTTAAAAGCATTAATGACCCATAAGAGGCCTGGGTTGAAATGTCTTTGCTTCTGCAGGCCAGCGAAGTGATGTATGCGGCAAAAAGAGAAAAAGCTGGTCTATATGCGGGATAGAGAGACCCACCCAGAACACCCTAGCAATGTGCTAAAATCACTTAGAACATTTTAGCAATCACATAGCCAGTGATGTTACTGTCAACTAAAACTACTTTATTTAAAAAAAAAAGAATAATATAATATAAATTTATAATATAAATATTAGATGAAAAACGAAAAAAAAAAAAACATTATTATACAAATTCAAAATCTTGCATTGGCAACTATAGTTGTTTTTGTTGTTTATAAAGTTCTACATAAAACAGATATTAAGAGTACTTTTTTACAAGAAAATACTATTTCAGTCTTTCTACATAATTTAATGTTTAATTCAGTGTTACTTGTTTCTCTGTAATTATTTATTGCATTTATTAGCAATTTCTTACACTTATTATTTTAGTTTAATTTAGTGTTAATTTTGTTAACAAAAACTGCGATGAAAAATGTTTATTGATGAGCTTTCTTCCGATGACTAAAACAAGATAACAATAAGGTCAATATACAATAAAAGATTAGACTAAAATGTGTTTTAAAGGGGTCCTATTATGCTCTTTTACAAAGTCTTGATTTTGTTTTGGGGGTGTACTAGAACATGCTCTCATGCTTGGTGGTTCGAAAAACGCCTTATGTTTCACATAATTTACATTATTACAATACCTTTCTCCCCATCCTGGCACAAAAGGCTCAATTAGTTCCGGCTTTGATGAAGGTCCGCCTTCCAAAAAACAAAATGTGTTGTGATTGGTTAGCTGTCCCAGTGCGTTGTAATTGGCGAACAGCTTAGACGGTGTTTCAGTACTGCCACGCCCCCTTGCTCCGTCTTTCAGCAAAAGCTTTTGGGAATCCGGCACTTTTCACTCGTGATGTGGAAGCTGTCCTCAGTAAAATGCGCAGCACACGATAGCAAATTGGGGTTATAATGCTCAGGAACAGAGTTAAAAAGTAAATT